TGGCTGCGCAGCCAGGTGACGGACACAGGAAGTGGCTGCGCAGCCAGTTGACGGACACAGGAAGTGGCTGCGCAGTCAGCTGATGGACACAGGAAGTCTGTTTATTTGAACCCTAAATGTTCCTGCTTCCTTCTGCCTCTCAGGTTCTGTGAAGGCGTGTTGAAGCGTGACAAGAAGGCCACTCCACGTCTGTTCTGTGACATCTGTGACTGCTTTGACCTCCACGACACAGAGGACTGTCCCACTCAGGCTCAGAGCCCAGACTCCGTCCCCCACACCGCCTACCACGGGAACCCGGCTGATGAGAGGCCCTACTGCGACATCTGCGAGGCGTTCGGACACACCACCGAGTCCTGCAATGACGATCAGACCTTCTGAAGCGGTCCGGTCCAATCCCGTCCCGGTACTCGTTCCTCTCCTCGAGTGTTCCCCACGGCCCTAAGAACTGACCCAAGCCCAGAGTTTTTCCATAAAGTATTTTTATACTATAAATGCACCTCTGTCCTAAACTACTTTTCTGATTCAAATATGCTTCTTCTGTGCAATATTGATGTTTAGAACAACCGGAGTGCACCGGTAGTTTTCAGGCTTTATTTGTTGTCGGCTCAGAAAGTGATCAGAGGAAACTGAAGTGATGTTTATGATGGCATTGCTCCAATTTATCACTTTATTTATTTTTTATTTAAATTCTGTCATGTTTTCTAAGTCAAACGATTTAAACAGGCGTTTGCCAATATTTTAAATATTATTTTAGAAATGGTGAAACGAGATGCTCATTTCACAAGATAGAACAAGATTTTGTTTCAAAGTGTTTGCCACAAACTCACCCTTCTGCTCTCATGTCAAAATATTCAAACTGAAATATGACCCCCCCCCCCCCCCACACACACACACACACACACACACCTGACAGCTTCTTATGAAACAATGAAAATTCACTCAGTTACAAACAGAAGAAAGTAAGATAAATTATTTTATTTAATGTTTTAGTAAATGCATGCAGGAGCTCTGCAGCTGTCGTTCGTTTGCCTGTTTTGTTGGAGTCAGGACATTAGAGTGAAACTCCTTTCTGTCGCAGCTTCAGGAGGGAAGTTTAAGGGGTTTCCACATGGTCCTAGTGCCTGACCTGTTTGTTTAAGCTGCTGCCAAACTATCAAGTGTTAAAGATCGTTTCACCATTCATGAGTTTTTTATTCCACGAGGAACTTTCTGACATTTTATTCTTGAGGCACGTTCTCGATACACGCCATATTTTAAGTATTTGTAGTTTTTTTTAAAGTTCACATTTTTGCACAATATTTTTAAAGTGCGCATTAAATTCATCTTTAATTTTGACTGAAATAGATCTAAATTTGTTGATGGATAAAAATTAACGATGTGGTTGGAGGAAAGTTGTTTTATAAGGAAGATGAAACTGGAAAGTTTTAATAATAATAATAATAATGTGCTACTTCATATCTACGTTTCATCACATAAGCTTTTATTTTATACGATTATAAAATTACTTCAGTTTATCTTTTAACAAAATAGTTTTTAAGCTCGGCTCATAATCCTACAATTATCTTGAAACATTCCTTTGGAAATGCTGTTTATGAACAAAGTACTGTACTTTTACTTAAAATATGTCTCAGTTTAGTCTAAATATTTTTACATATTTAGTTTTTACTACTAAATTATTTCTACTGTTGCAAATTTTTAATTTAATTTAAAATTAAATTCCTAGAACATTACAGCTAGTTAGTGAGCCTAATATAAGTCCGTGAAAGGGGAATTATGTCACGATGGGGAAAGTTTCACATCGACCTTGAAAACTAGTTCAGCACAAAATAAATCAAGTTGGGAACTTTCAGCCTCGTTTCCTCGGCAGCTCGACGGATTCCAGAGTTCGTTTGTCAACGACCTTAAAGAGATAATGAAATAAACTGAAACAAATATTCAGTTTAAAACACATTTATTGAGTTAAACACATGACATGTTTTTTAGAGCCTCGTTCTCTTTGAAACCCGAGGTCCCGCCCCCCACCCAGGAGTGAAATACTCCACAGGTGTGGTCTCACGTGCACTCCAGGTGGCTGCAGTCAGAAGTTTTTCTGCGCTGTTACAAAAAACGGCAGCGAGTGTTTTTGTGCTACTCACCCTTTAGCACGTAGGAGCAAACCAACAACATCCTCGGTCCAAAGGGATGCTCATGTGTTCAACAGTTTGGATGCAACTGATCATGCACACTACAGTACATGCAGCTGAGCCTCAGGGTTGCCAGATAAGCTTAAATACTCCCCCGCCCCCTCCTTTTCTGTGCACATGCTCATCTAACACCCTCACTCAGCACATGTGACCGTTTGGGCCAGAAAACATCTATTCCAAAGCAACAGTACAATAGTTCATCATTTCTTATCTGGCAACCCTGTCTGGCATAGAAACTATAGCACTTTTTGTTTGTCACATTTCCAGGGGTGTTTCTCGTGTAAACAGGTTTGTCCACCTGAAGTTTTATTTCTTTACAAACGAAACAAGAACTAATCTCAACTCCTCTGTCTGTAGCAGGTTGTCGTACTGGAACTGTTGTTGGTCTGTAGCAGGTTGTCGTACTGGAACTGTTGTTGGTCTGTAGCAGGTTGTCGTACTGGAACTGTTGGTGAAGTTGAGGCCGAAGCTCGGGGTCCATGTTTCTTGTCAGGGATGAACATGCACTGATCTGTAGCCGATACCGAAGCTCTTCTAGTTGTTTCAGTGATGAACCTTTCAGGGAAACGAGCGTCTCTTTAGCCTGCAGCAGGACTGTGATTCTCCTAAAACCTAATTTAGCACTTTTCACTTTAAAAAGTCGGCATTTAAAAAAAGAAAACTTTGTTTCTGAGTCGTGAGTTTTATTCTATGATGAAAGACGGACGCCTTATAAACGCTCTAGCTAAAGAAAATTCTGCAGCTAAACGGATCAAATCAAATGTTCCTCATCACAACCAGTTAAAGTTCTCCTGAAGGAACGTGCAGAACGTCAGAGCAACGTTCACCACGATCCGTTCGCACTTGAACAGTGCACGACTCTCAGCTACTACCACGTCGTGTCTGAAGTGTCGGTCGTCTTATTCACTTTAAATGGAACTTTTGAGATATTTTGCTAACGGTGCACTTTGTTCATGTTTTTGTCATTGACTGCCTGTTTGTTGGTTTATGAAGGCACGTCGGCACAAAGCTCGACTCCGCTCCGTTTCCCACATTAGCTGCTAACCTCTTATTGTAAGACATTAAAGTAAAACCTCCTAAAATGTTATTTTTGTATGTAACCTGTATAAACGTGCACCATACTGGACGTGTTTGTGGTGAAGCACAATACATTTGCTCTCTGAAGCTCCAGCGGTCGTTGAAGCTCGAGCTGGTCAAGTTGTTCTGACGGTGCCATAAACAGATTTATTCGTGTTCAAACGAACAGTTATAAATGTTCTGTGATGTTTTCTATGTAACAGCTTTACACGCCAGTATTTTACAGATGTGATGTAAAACGTGTTTTCTGTGTTCTGTACAGTTCTGAAGAGAAATACACAGAAGTCCCTCCTGTGCCGTTTCTACGATTCCTTTTTAAACTTCATGTAAAGCAAAACGTTTCATTTACTCCAGCTTCAAGAAACTTTCAACCAAACTTCAGTTCTCCACGAAATCACTTCAACACATCGAGTTTCCCCTTTCCCTCGTTTATTTATTAACCTTTATTTAATTTAGTGTAACTCTAGTTCAACTCCTGCCTTCGTCATAAAAGGAGCTCCTCCCAATCGATCAAGATAAATAAAGAAGAAGAAAAGTGAAGACGTGGCTGAGCTGGGACCAGCAGCGTGGACTGAACGTGTGGTCTACACACGACCGGGACACGTGCAACAAACCACCAAATAAAAGCAACAAACAGTTTTGTCATTTTATTAAGAAAACAAAACCATTAGACATGATAAAAACCGAAGCACTACTGATGGAATAAATAAGTCAAACCAAACCATAAATCTGTACAAGATTCTAAAAAATGGTCCCAAAGAAAGAAAAACACAAGTTTTATATTTTTATCTCGTTTTCTTTTTTCACACAGTTCTGAGCAAACTAGAAGGAATCGGCTCGATCGGGTGAAAGCTACGACACAACGAGTTTCGGCTGTTTTCATCAAGCTCCAGCTCTGCTGGACGGGAATGAGGTATTTGCTAATCCATCGTCTGGACACAGTGTTCTTTCCTCCATCCTCCTGAAAGCTGATTGGCTGAAGTCGGACCCAGTAATCGATCTGATGTGCAGCCCCGGCGAGTTATCAATCATTTCTGGTCAACCCAGAAACGCGTGACGTTAGAGGTCCACGTCCGGATCCACACGCTAAAATTCAAGTAGGTTGCACGAAGACGTGCACGCGTCCAGCAGACAGCGCCTTCAGGATTAGCACCAAACGTTTGGGCTAAAAGACTGGACCAGCCCGCCATGAGGGACACCTAAACCTGGAGGTGGGCTGTCCGCGGGTTACAAGGAGTCCAGAACACTTCCATGGCTCTCCTGGTCCGCTGAAGTCCTGTTGACAAAATGTTTTTTTTAACTGGTCCAGATCTGCCTGTCTAAAGTGGACTCCAGTAGACTGAATCCTAACTGGGGTGGTGGTGGTGGGGGGGGCTGCAAAGGTGGAGACAACGATGTGAGCAACAAAACGTTGAGCTGCTCCTCACAGCCCCATGGCTCCAGAGAAAACTTCTCACGTTCTGAGTGTCCATCATCAATGCAGCCCAGCAGAAACCGGGGGGGGTGTCCCAGAACCTGGTCCCGTTCCACTTTAGTGCAAACCGGTAACCAACAGTTCTGACAAAGGACGTCTGCAGGTGTAAGAAGTGAAGGTAGTGTTCAGATTCATTTGGTTTGTTGCAGAGAGAAGTGACAGGACCGACACCTGAACCTGAACCAGGACTCGGGTCTCTGTGGCCCTGTGCACAGCAGGAGTGGGCCGCAGGGCCACAAAAGAATCTGGTAAACCTTTTCTGGGGTTTTCATGCTGTAGCATAGTTAGCATGTTTGATAAAAAAATGTCTCCGGTTATATTTCAGGATTATGAGACATTTCTGTCAGCTGGCTCTGAGGACAACGTAACTGTCAGATACACAATCAAATGTTTGATTTCTTTAAGGTTCAGTCTAGGTCTGGAAACACGACACAAAAACTGTTTTAGCCTAACTCGATCCAAAGGTTTTCAGTGTAACCGTCCAACATGTTCAATTGAGAGCCAAGTTTTACAGAAAAATCTCTTCAACGTGTTTTCAGTTCACCGTGTTGGACAACGGAGACTGTCCATCGAGCCATATGCTGCCCACGTTAGCCGGCGGGTTCCTATGGACGCCTGGTCTGACTGGTTCCTATAGACACCCGGGCCGACGGGTTCATATAGACACCCAGGCTTCAGATTTAATGGAAAGCTGTTACGTCCTCTGCAAGACCCAGGAAACTTCTTCTGTCCAACATGGCCGACAGAAAAGAATGAGGTCATTTGTTCTTGCAAACTCCTTCGTCTGGACTCCTCATCAGCTCTGTGTTTCTTGCCTGGTGGTCTAGAACTACCGGAGTCGGAGATGTGAAGTGGGACTGGTTCCTGCTCAGAGGAACTTGCTGAGTCGTGGTTTGAAGTTCTTGTGACGAGTCCAACGGCCAGGACGAACCGTGCTCTCGTGTTTGTCTCCAGTTTGGCAGAGTCCAACAAGCTTTTCAGGGGCCTCAGACTTCTTGATTTACTCTGAGCAAAACAACCAAAACATCTTACCAAACTACTCCGTTAACATTTCAAACAGTTGTAGCTGGATATTAATATGAGAAAATCTAATTAGTGACAGTTACAAGGCAAAACAAAAAACGTGGCACCACAAGTGCAAGTCCAAACCTGCAGAGCCTTCAAAGGAAAAGCTGAGTTTTGTAACAGCTGAAGGCACACCTCCAGGACGCCACTAACCAGCTGCTCTACGCTCATCCTGATGAGTACCGTTACGCTCATCCTGATGAGTACCGTTACGCTCATCCTGATGAGTA